GGAGGAGCCCCCCAAGGTCCCACCTGAGCCTCTCCCAGCAGAGCCAGGTGGGAAGGGGGCTCACCTGGGGGGCTCTGCCCCTGGGGCTGGCAGAAGTACCGCACCAGGAATGGGAAGATGCATCGATCCGTCTCGTTCCTGGCCTGGATCTCCACACTGGTATCACTTTCAGGACCTGGAGAGCCCTGAAAAACTGGGAACAAAGTGAGAAGTTGAAGCCAAACCACAAACCCCACAGAGACAGGTCGGGTTTTGCCCCGCAGTTAATGAAGTTGGCCCGAAGCCCACAGGTCTTGCCCTCCTCCCTCGTTCGTGGGGATGCTCCAGGTGTGCCCAGAGGGGGTTTTGCTCTTGGCTCTCATGTCTGCACCAACCCTCCAGGGCCTGAACCACTGCAATTAACCCAGATTTCCGCTACCAGGCATCTTGCCAGGGTGTGAGATGGAGATAAGAGCTGGTTACTCACCCCTCACATTTCGGAGCAACACCAGCACCAGCAGGACGAGGTGCCCCAGAGCCCCAGCTGTGAGGAGGACTCTGTGCCACCACGGGCACGGGGCAGGAGCTGGAAGAGGCCACATTTAAGCTTAAAAATTGTAAAAAAACATGAAGAAGATTGGGGGTTTAGAGCAAAAAAAAAAAAAACCCAAACCCCTGTGCTGAGCTGTGAGTTCGAGCAGAAGTTTGTGGTTGCTTTGCTTCCTCCAAAGCCATAAATCCCCCCTGACAGGGCTCGAGCCAGGGCAGCACCCCCGGGGGAGATTGGGGGGCTCAGGGGGTGCAGCAGCCTTGGGAGCAGCCTCGAGGACCCAGTGCCAGAGGGCAGGACCTGGGAACTCCCAAACGGGCTCAGTTTCCAGCTGGGAGTTGGTGGCCGCGGGTCCCTCCAGCCCTCGACTCCTCCGGGGTCCGGACGGGGTTCGGCCCCTTCCCTGCCCTCCCAAGTGTGGTGGCTCCCCTGGGGCTTCCTGGGGCCCCTTTTGGCCACCGAGTGAAGGGTCTGGGAAACAAAACTGTTCTAGTTCCAGAGAATTTCCAGCCTCTCCTGTTCCTGTCCTGCTCCAGACAAGCTCAGATCCCATTTCAAAGGCCACCCCGTGAGCTTGGAAACCTGAACGTGGGGATGGAGAATTGAACAGATCCCAAAGGTAACGGACCCAAAACTCTTCCCAGGGCCTGAAATAAGCCTTTTTTCCCCCAAAATACACTCACCAGGACATTTCTCAGCCGGAGAAGGCCCGTTCCCAGGATTTCTTAGATCGGCATAAATGATTTTCCCAGCCATGGTGGCTCTGGAGGTTGTTGGCGTGTCCCGAGAGCGACACCAACCTCAGACACCTTCTCACCTCGTGACCAACGCGCGTCCGGTCCCAGGAAATGGCACCAACCGGGCCTTTTATGTTTCTTTGGGGTTTTTTTTAAACATATCTCTGTATTCTGCAGCCTCCCCTGTGCCTGGGGAAAGGGTTAGGGTGTCCCCAGCCAGGAGGAGGAGGGAGGGGGGCTCACCTGGAGGTGCAGGGACATGTGCAGGGTTGGGCTGAATGGCAGAAAATTATTAAATTAATCAAATTAATTTATTAAATCAACTCAAAAAGCCTCTTATTGAGGTTTTTAGGGAGTGAGGCTGAAATGTGACGGGTGATATTTGGTGTTACTTCCCCAAGAAGCATCTCTCAGGGATGGGGTGGTGGCAGAAATGCTGCAGCCATGGGAGGGTCAGAACCAGGCAGGGCAGGAGGAGCTGACACCCCCCGGTCATTTAGGGGGGTTTTTCCCCACTTGTCTGACACCCCCTCGTCCCCCTCAGCCCCGTCGGTCAGGACATGGTCCCGTTCTGGGGGCACCGGGGGATCCTTTGCCCCCCTCGTGCAGCTCCAAGCGCTCGAGTGGCCAAGTCCTGGTTTCTGGGGCTGCCCCCACAGTTGGTTTTGGGGTCCCGCGGGGGCTGCGGGGGCCGCTCGCCCCGTGCCCGGACAGGACCGAGGGAATGTCCTCGGGAATGTCCGCGGGAATGCCCGGCTCGTGCGCATCCCCTGCCGGCCGCGGCGCACAAACGCACCCGATTTCCCTCCGAAAAGGGGGGAAAAAACGGCCCCCAATCCCTTTTGCCCGAGCGGAGGAGGGGACAGAGTTCCGGCAGAAAAGTCCAGTTCGGGAAGAACAAACCACCCAGAAGTGAGGAAGGCAGGCAGAGCCGCGAGCCACACGTCCCATTTCACATCCACACGGCAGAGCCACGGTGGGGGGATCGAAAAACAGCCAATGGGAAGCGTCGGAGAGCCCCGGCAGCCAATGGGAAGCATCGGAGAGCCCCGGCAGCCAATGGGAAGCCACGTTTCCTGATGCCCTGGGAACCACACTGAGAAGCTGCTGGAGAACAGCCATCAACTAAAATTGCTTTTATTGGAGAGTTTCCTAGTTTATGACTAAACACACCCTAGCGGGAAATCTCCCACACATCAAGAGCTGCCCTGCGAGGTGAGTACTCCAGAGCAGCCCCTGGGCTGCCAAACTTGGGGTGGTGGGTGCTCCCTGCCCACAGTGAGCCACGGCTGGGACAGGGCTGAGCCCCCACATCAGGGTCTTGTCTCTGGGGGAGCTGAAATAACCACCTGATTAATTAAACGTGGCACGTTGAAGGGAAGGGGGGAACAAACCCCAAAAATCACAGTTTTACAGCTGGGTTTGGTGAGGCTTTTGCTGCCGTGGGGTTGGTTTGAGTGTCTGCTGTGGGGTTGGGCTGGTTTGTCATTTTTGCTGCCTTGTAAGAGCTTCTGCAGTGATTTTGTTGGGGTTTTATTCAGCCCCTTGTTGCTGACAGAGTTGCTTCTTGGGAAGAGAATTGGGCAAATCATGGTGAAAAGAGGTAAATGATGATATGACAGAAAGGACTTTAATTTGTTTCAGTTGAGTGGAATGAACAGTGATTTTGGGGGGAGCTGGAGGAAACCACGGTGGGCTTGGGAGGGATTGAACCTGGGCAGGAGCTCGGGCTGCACCAGGGGGGGTCTCACAACATGAACCTTCGGGGGTCTTTTTAGGGGAATTTGTTGAATTTGTACAGTCGACATTTGTGATGCAGAAATTAAAGTAGGACTGAAATTTTGGCTTGAAATGAGGGGGCTGAACTTGTGCACTGGGGCTTCTGTAATCTTAAACTGTGACTGGGATACTTTAGTTTTTGAAATAGGAAACCCTTCACCAGTCATGTCCATGCCATGCCATACTTGTTTTAGCTTCAGACCCAGCTCAGAGTTTGGATAAGGTCTGGGCTTTGTCCTTAGGAAACCTCCAAGGGTGCTGGAGCACCACTCCCTTCCTACTCATCCTATATTCCTTTCTTTCTCCTACCAATTTAACTCTCTCACTGCTCTGGAAATGCTGCATCTGAGCACATCCTTGATGAGCTTCTGTTGGTCCATTTGGTGCTGGTAACTTACACAAGACCCAAAAGGACCAAAAGCTGCTGCCCCTGTTGGTTTGGGGTGCAGGGAACCAGGTCGTGCTCCTGCAACAGTGGGCACGGGTAGGGGGGGAACCAGAGCAGGGATTCCTGTGAGCAAAACGAGCTCAACACAGAAAACCTGAGCAGAACAGGTGCTGTGAACTGTTACAGGCTATTTTCAATCCTGTGTTTTTGCAAAAGGGCCCCAAAGAACAGACTCTGCTCCGAGCCCTCGGTGCCTCTTCTGAGCCCTGAACAGGCTCCTGTCCCCTGCAAACACTTCAGCAGCCTTTGAGCTGTGAGCTCTCAATGACTTATTTATTTAATAGTTAAAGTGCCTTTAAACTTGTCTTTTTCTTTCCTTTCTGCTTAATTTCTTTGGGTTTTTTCCCTCTTTAATCTTTGCTGCTCCCCTCTCTTTTCCTGTCCCTGTGTCCTTTGTGACCCACCAGCCCTGCCAGAGGCTGATTCACCTTGTGCGTCAGTGCCCCACAAGGGCTGTTGTGGCTGGCTGGGCTGGGGCCCAGGAGGTCTCAGCTCCCTGCAGGTCCCCTCAGCCTCTCCTCTCCTTCCACCCCAGGCTGCCGAGTGCATCCACCCCACAGAGCCCAGGGAATGTCAGCCCCGGGCCCTGAGGCTGCTCTGCAAGGATGGGGAAAGAAACCCAAAAGCCAAATTCTTCAGGCCAAGAGGAACCACTGAACACCTGCAGTGATCCAGAGGAACAGTGCAAATGGGGTAATGCTGGGAAAACCAAACACTCCGGGGAGGGCGGGGTGTGGGAAGAGCATCTCGCTCTGGGGGGGCACCAGTGGGGTCCCTGGATGGGCCTGGGTGGGGCTGGGGATGGACTGAGGGTCCAGCACAGGAGGGCAAAGCAGAGGGGAGAGGAGCCAGGCCATCCTCACCCTGCTCTTTCCTGCCCCAGGGTCCTGCAGAACCGAGTCAGACCGGAGAACATCCCCCAAGGTGTGTGTTCTCCTCGCTCTGAGTGTGTTCCTGGGGATCCTCAGCTTGAGCCTGCCTGGAGCAGTGACTGGTGAGTCCCACCCAGGCACCCCCACGGGGAGGATCTGGGCCAGGCGCCTCCGTTTTGGGAGGTGGGAGG